AAAACCTCTGGAAAACTCCGACGAGGTGTAGGATGACCCCGACATATTTACCGTTTCCCGGCATTATGGCCAATTGTTCGCAGAAGGAGATATTTTAAAGATATTTTCGCTAACACCCTAATGTGTTCTTCACGGGGCTGCCTTCGTACTCACTACGGTAATTGCTTGTAGCTGGTGTTGAATAAACATCGCGATTTTTGTGTTTCTGTCGTGCCTCATAATTTTTTAAGACCAGTGGAATGTTAAATTGCGATCACAACGAGTGAAGCGCGCACCAACCAATCTTTTTATCCTCGAAAGGGGCAAGACAGTCTGATCCTCGTTTCCGAAGACGTCAACCGTGTGACGGTGAGGTAGTTTATAAGAATGGTGGACTTTAACTTTATATAACACACTCCCTCCTCCTCACCTGCCTGGTTCCGCTGCCATGATAGAACCGAAGGTGAGATCTGGCATAGGTGGTTGAGATGGTGTGAATCTGCGCCTTGGCGGGTCATCGTACACCCGGGTTCGCGCACAAAGGACCAAGAGTTCGTACGACATTAAAAGAGGGAGGGCTCGTATCCTGACTGCGTGTGAGGGAGCGGGAACATAGAACCGGTGGAGGTATAATTTGTTGAACCTTTGACTACACCAACTTTCCTGCCTAGACTATTGAGTTAACGCTGACCTTATTCGGTAGATAACCAACTTTTAAATTGTTCCAAATACTGCCGCCATACATGTCATCTTGCAATTTTTTTCTTTAAACAAAGAAGGAATATCCAACCTCGCTACAACAACGGTCGCTGACCGGGAGAGATTCAGCCTATGCAGATGCCTCAGCCGCATCATCCTCATCATCGTCATTCTTGCCAAGTCCCTTGGTAATGCCCAGCTCCGACCACCAACTTCAGCCCCAACACCACCACCAACACCAGCAAACGCAGCAGCAACAGCAGCACCAAGCAGTTCCAAGTTTCCTGCTGCCCAGTAGTGCCAACCTACACGCCTCTCAGGTCGGGGAACCCAGCGCTCCCTCCACAACAGTAGTCTCTCTGGAGGCGGAGTCCTGTCGCAGTCACTTCCTCTGCGCGTCCTCCATGATGATGAGCGCCTCGCAACTGGCTCGCTACTCCTCCATGTACCCCAGCGAAGTCTACGAGACACTGGGTGACCTCATGTTTCCCCGAGGACGAAACCAGTTCTCCAATACAGTAAGTCGGTCGCACTGTTTGCGCACTCAATAAAGTATTCATTGTCGTCGTAAAAAGCATTGTCTACACAGCGATGCAGTAGTACCTACTCCCAAACTGAGGACACTGCCTTGCTAAGGCTGTAAAATTGTTCTGAAATAAAAAAATCAATTGTGATTTTATTTGCGCAATGTCGTTGCGAATAACTGCCCCGTCAGGTAGGCCTCTTGCCATGGTTAACTAGATTCCTGATAATACTTGCGTGTGCAAATATTTCACTATAACATTAATATTCGAAGAATTTCTTCTCAAAAACGCTCCTTTATGTGGCAGAGCATCTACTGTGAGCTGAAGTCGAAATCTGGCATAACTGAGAGTGATGTTGTTACTTACCATACTAACAGCCCAGGTACTAGCTAAAAGGCCCAGACTCATGTTTCGTCGGTATTCTGCCGCTACTTGACACAGCTGCGAGGGACCCGGCTCATCAATGGGTCCCCCCAGCTTTCCCTGTTTGTTTTTTGGTTGATATACCAGTTTTGAAAGTTCAGCTTTTTACTTTCCTTAGAAATTAATTTCTATTCGCGGCTGACCAACTGATCTTGAGTATGCTTCAGTATAAACGGAATTCCACTATTGTTTGTCAATTGTGGTCGGTCGGGTACTACTGGTCGGTGTATTAGTGCACACCACTCTGTCTGCCAGGCATTAAGAGCAAGTGGCTAAACAAAATGCCACCAAATCCTCCCATTTTGTCTAGATGCCAGGAATATTTGGCCTGGCGTATCGGCATTAAAGAGCGTGTGGGTCGGTTGTGGCGAGCACAGCAGGGTACGAAATGTCAACAACTGGAACAGCTACTTAAGCATATTATGAGAAGCGGAAATGTCGTCCGTCGCAATTGATGAGTACCACTATAGCCTGACAGCTTGAGCAGGAAGGGAGTAATTTGCGTTTGACGGTGTTTATACTGAAGCAGACTTGTGCAGCATCTACTTCACTTCCCTCTTCCGGTGCCTACCTTGGCCGGATGGCAATCTAAGGAGAGGGTATAGAGAAATACGGGTGGGCGCAGTGTCTACCAGCTTAAAATGCCGTATTTTCCGGACTAGAAGGCACACTTAAAAGCCTTCAATTTTTTTAAAAAAAAGCGATAGAGCTTCTTAATATTAGTTAATTCTGGTTACTGAGCTCGAAACGATTTTGGGTGGAACATGGCGCTGTGTTACTCCGTCGTCAGGAAAGTTGAGAAAATTAAAGACTTTTAATTGCGCCTTATAGTCCGGAAAATAGGGTGGTCACTTTCCTTCAAGGGCCTGAACTCCATAAGGGGTGTTTTTAATTACCTCGAAAATAACTGTGACCCCGCGTAGTTATTTTTTCAAGTCAGCGAACATCGAGAGTATAATTCAGGCTGTGAATTGATTTTTTCTGGAGAAGTTTACACAAAGTTAGGACCTTTCAACCCTTACTACGTAGGATCGACCGGCGTACCGCTGTGTGTGAACGTGCTCCAATATGTGTTGTATGTCTGCTGACTTGGGAACGCTACTCGCCCAGTCATTTCAGATTGAAAGCGCATTGAGTGATTTCGGTCAAAAATGCTGCGTAGCCGTACTACATGTAGTCACGTGTGGGGGTTCTGTCGAAAAATGAATCTGTTTCGGTACTTCCTGACGTGGACAACTTAGCAACATTTGGAATAAACTCGTTGATGAACGTTCACCTGACCGCTAACGGAACTCATCTGTCCCGCTCTGCCTTGGGCTTCGAAAGAAGTCCTGACAACCGTCGCAGCTGGTAGTATAGCCAGATAATATTGCCGGCAAAGACAAGGGAGACTGGAATGGCCATCGCTGGCTTGTTAACCGTCGTCAGACCCAAGTGGTGTCCCACTCAAGCCTCGAACTCGCGACCTTTTTGCTCAGAGCCAAAGGTCCTAACCATTGAGGCTCGGGTTGGACACCACTTGGGTCTGGGTATGACCGGCCGGCCGCGGGTTATAAGCCAGAAGTGGTCATTCCAGTCCCCCTTGCCTTGGTCGGCAGCAAGATCTGCCCTTTAAATAAAGTCGACTTTAGATTTCCGTACTCTGGGGCTTCTAGACCGCACAAAACTTCCTTATCCCCTTCGGCGTGATTCAGTGCGATGACTTTCGGCATATACTCTAAAAATTCTTATTTTCCAGCGCAGGCATTTTTTTCAGGCCCGAGTTATCATCATGCCCAGGGTACGTAAGCGTTCATTAAGACCCCTTACGTCATCTGAATGAAATAGGAGTTGTTTCTTTCTAGTTGCATCGGTTAGAGAAAATTCGTTTAGCAAGAGAGCTTGGGGACACGGTAGCCAGCAGGAAACCTGGCAAAAGACCACTCCGCACGTGAGTTTCCGACCGTCCACCCCAATTACCGAATCGCCAAGCCTCCAAAATCAGACATCTAAGGTCCTGACCACAATACTAGTAAACTCGCTAACTCAGACGCAGAGTTGCACTTGTTTTCGGCTGGGGGACCGCCAGAAGCGAAGGCGGAACGACATCGGGTCGGCTAGTTATTTTTCTTAGTCTCCGACAGCTTGTTTTGTCTCGCGTGCTTGGCCTCGAGCAGACAATTTTCAGTCACATGTGGATCTGCCATCTTGCTATTCAAGTCACTAGGTAGGAAGAATGTAAGTTTTCTAGAATCTTCTTCACCTGCCTATGACTGTCCTTAGAAAGAAGCAGTTTACAGTAAGGCACTCATTTTAAGCTCCACAGAAATACCGCGTGAAGGCTAGGTGTCATCGCTAACCTAGCCGCAGACCTTGATTTGCTATCGCATCAGGAAGCGCAAGTCTCAGGAAGCGAGGGCGAAAAGACGCCCAGTGGGCTAGTTATTTTTTTGGTTTGAC